AGACAGCGCCGGTACGACTGCCCCCTATAGACAATTTGAATTTAGTGAACCATAACGACGGCACCCCTCCCTCAACACCTCCGCCACAAACTCCCAAACAAATTGTTCCGCAAACGCCTCCCATCTCCAGCGTTGGCACCAGTTTTGTGATGCCATCCAAAGCTCAAACACAAATGAAGCCGACGTCAGCCCCGGCCGGACGGCTCAGTGCAACCAGTGCTTCGGCTATGAATTACCTGCGAGTGAGGGGAGCGGGAAGTAAGAGAGGCAGTGGTAGTGACACCGACAGTATGATGAGTCAGTCAACTACTCCAAGAAGTTCTTTCCAAACGGATACCACTATATTGAGTACACCTCGCAGTTCGTTCCAACACCCGGACTCACCTCAGATGACCAGCAAAGCTGGAGTTGTCGTCACTTCTTCCAGAGCTTCCTCTCGCAGATCCAGCACCGCATCCGCCGCTTCCGGTAATCATTTTTACTATTATTTGTGTCTCATTTCATGTCCATAAACTATAAATCAATTCTTTAAAATACATTTTTTATTATCTAATGATTTGGACACATACACTCAATTTAGTGTTCAATAAATAGTCTATTTGCACTTTCATGCATATCATGAGTTATGTCTTTTAATTTAAAATAATATTGTATATTTAAATATTGACATTTAGAAAATAGTTGTATGGAAAACTTTAATAATTTATTTTGGTTATTTCTGCATTTATAAATGGTGAAGTAACAGTTATAATATATTATACTTTATTAAACAGAATTATGGCACTGTATACGTTTAGTTTAATAATATTTATGGTTTAATAATACGACATATTTGATTTAAGTTATTAAAAATATAGTACATTTATAAATATAGAATAAATAATATTGTTTTGTATTTTTATATAAAGATTTGAGATTTATTTTGGTATTGATTATATATACAGTAACTTATCTTAAAGAATAATTTTCTATAGTAACAGATCTTATATGCCACAAGAGTTAGATTTTCTTACTATTTCTTAAAATAAAATTTTCTGTAAAATTATATGAAGTTCGTAGCGAGGTTCATTTTAATAAAACATTTTTACCAAAATAACCATACACACTGTCACACTGTTTATTTGATCTCTGTCTATATTGAATTTTAAATTGTTATTTAAGCAACAGGCAATTATACAGTAATAATAATAATTATAATATCAATGTATTTTATATAAAAATTTTTATTAAAAAGGTAATACGTTTCTTAAAATTTTCCAAAATGTTGTAACTTATATCAAACAAATCTACACTATATTACTAATAATTTTGGCATGAAGTGCCAATATGACCCGGATTATTTTATATAAATTATTCTTATTTAATATATGGTTATGTTTTAACAATATTCTTGTATATTTATGCATTCAAATATTTTGATGTGTGAGATAAATATTAGTAATGTTTTCAAAATGAATGACAAATTCAAAAATTGCAATTAACTTTACTAGTATCTTACTAGTACCTTATTGTAATCTTCAGTATAGCTATAGTCATTCAATATTAGTCAAACTTTAAGAATATTGTCGTTTAAATATACCAAAAAATAAATAAGAATAATTTATATCAAATAAACCGGGTCCTATTGGCATGGCAAAATTATTATTAATATAGTGTAGATTTGTTTTATATTAGTTACAAAATTTTGGACAAATTTAAGAAACGTATTAAGAAAAGTTAATTGAACAAAATAAGTTTTACTTTTCTATATATTTTACTGAATAAATTATTAAATAAATCTTAAATTTAATACAAATGATTTAATTAAAATTATTGTAGCACATGAGTTTCTCAATTATTATTCTCATGTTCAGATAAAGGCAATTATTTATATATTAATTTACTTTACTATTACTGTAACTAATCCGATCACTTGATTTAAAATTCTCTACAATTGTATAAAAGTACAGTAATTATAGAATATTTCACACAATTCTTCTAAACATTAAATTCTTAGTCAGAATCGATTAAATGTTCACTTATTCTTACAACTTATTGTTTTTGTTATCGTAGCAGTTGTAGAGATTTGATAAATTTGTAGTTAAAGCAAAATTGTCAAAATTACTAAAGTGACCAATGTAGTGTACTGTACTGCACAGTAATACAGAAACTAACTTGCACAATCTATTTACATAGCATTCGCTGTGGCGACGGCCGCCTCAAGCAATCCTCCGGAGCCTATGGATCACACGAAGCAATCATTACCGCAATCTCGAGCCAACAGTCGCCTTCCCAGTGCTGTCGGCACTGACCTAAAGATTCCGAACGCAAACCGAGTGAAGAGAGAGTCGATGATAAGTACGGCGGCAACGATGCGGGTCCTCAATGTGCTGAGACATTGGGTGAGCAAACACTCACAGGACTTTGAAAACGATCCAAAGTTACTGCAATTGGCGACTGAATTCTTGGAAGAGTTGGTTCACAACACAAACCTACTTCCGGCCGAACACAAGGCAGCCGTTCAGCTCTTGGGGATGATCTCGAAACAGGCGCTCGAATACAGAGATAAAATCGATTTGGATGTCCTCTTGTCTCCGCCACTAAACCCTTCCAAAGATAATATCGAATCGTTGTCTGCGCTCGAGATCGCAGAAGTGATGACTTATTTGGACCACAAAATATTTGTTAGAATACAAAGCGAGGAGTTCTTAGGCCAGNGAGATGGGAGGCGTTTGCGGAACAATTTGTTTGGGAGTTTGTGGCGGAGGTGTTGAGGGAGGGGTGCCGTCGTTATGGTTCACTAAATTCAAATTGTCTATAGGGGGCAGTCGTACCGGCGCTGTCTTCTTAATAGGACTCGGTTTTGGTGAACCACTCTTACTATCACTTCCCACGAGTGTCGCGGAACTCGTCGCTGAACTGAGCGGTGAATTTGGATAACTTTGGTCAGCAGTCAGTGTTTCGCATGATTGCGAGTGAACCGGCACCTGGAGGTTCTCAGACTGACTCCCCATTGGAGGATTCGTTTGTTCGTTATCTGTATCCGAAGAATCGCTACTCGTCTGTGAAGTCAATACAAAAATATTGCATTTTTATATTGATTTACATTAATTTAAACGATTTTTAAATCAAAATTGCAATCAAACAAAAAATGCATTATTAGACTAACATACGTATAAATTTAATTGATCACAACATTAATTATATCATACAATAAAATCGTTTTATTGACCTTTTATATTTTCTATTTCGATAATATTTATAGCGTTTGTAATACTGGATAAACCGCTAAATTAATCTCATTTATTAGATTATAATAAATAATATTAGCTCTGGATTTATATCTACTTGTATACAATTCATTACTTACTGGAATATATTGTATCAGCACAAGTAGTCTTATACTGTACTTATAGAAAATCTTATAGCTATAAATTTGTTATTTGTAGCACAATCTGATTTGTGGCATAAATTACTTAAATGAGCTTGCATTCTCATCAAAACATTATAATTTAATTTAAATCAAATCCAAGCAAATTATGTAAAAAGTGTGTTTTGCTCACGTTTTTCATACGAATATCGTGTTGAAGAGCACTGTTGTCCAGAATATATGGCACCTCCGGAGAAGGGGGCGGCGGAACAGGCACTTGGATTGGGTCTAAAATTCCTGGTGATAATAAGGGACCAGAAGGAAAGTCAGATTGACTGCAAATGCTTCCCTGGAGTTGACTCCTGTCACCCAATCTTCTCAAATACCTATCCCTCGCTTGTTCTTCTTCGACTGACAGTCAATAATAACAAGCATTTCATTAATTTTAATACAAACTAAGGGCTGGTTTTTTGTAGGGCTATTGACTTACACTTTCTGTAACTGAGTCTCCAGTGCTGACTATTGCGAGACGATTGGAGCAGTTGTTGGCTTTGCATTTGTTGCAGATGTTGACTAGCAGTGGACTCCGAGTTGGACACAACGGACTCTCGGTGCAGGTCATTGATGTCAGTGATCATAGATCCGGTGCTAATACGTCGTGAGTAATCGTAGTCGACTGTGCAGAGGAGGTCACCGCCGACTAACTGCGATTGTCCTTCATTTTTGGCCGTAGTTTGGATGTCGTCTAAAGAACCGGTCGAGTCGTGAAGAGATTTTAATGTATCCAATTGACACTCAGGATTGTAGTGAACTCTTTTGAGCGCTTCCAATACAGTGACGCCATCCGTGAAGACCCGATATGTCAGCAGAAAAGTGTTGAGGAAATCAATGCTTAAGAATCTAAGATCCGTCAGCCGTTCAAAGAGACGCTCAGGACTTGCGTAACGGATTTGTGGCAGTTTACACGAGTTTAGGGTACGGCTGAAACGGATGTCCACATCGTCTTTGAAGAGTCGCGGATCGTTTCTGTGCAGACATTGCATTCATATATCATTTTAATAGCTATTCATTTGACTATAAATTATAGCAATCGCATGAAGACGTGTAATACCTGATAGAGTGAGGCATTGTTACTGACGACGAGTCACTCATTGTTCCGTGAAATAGATCGTTGAAATGCACGTTATCTATACACTGCAATGGGACAGGGATGACAATTTCTCATACATAACCAAGTCGTGTTTGCACATTTTGCAACAAATTTTCCATAAATTGATATTCGTATAACTTATGCTTAAGAATTCATTTATAGGATGTATGTATGGAAACACATACTCTAACAGTTTTGGCAATCATTTATTTTGGCCATAAATTGATGATATACGCCAAGACCGGCACTACTAATCAATCGCTGAATTAAATATTTAAACAGCGAATAAATATTCGTTAAAAATTATAAAACGGAAGTTTGTACTAAAGCAAAATGTATCTAAATCTATGATTTAGGACCAATATATGGATTCTCTCACTCCCATTGTTTGCAATACAGGAATTTAATCGAAATTTATTCATTCATAAAGTATATTTGAAATAAACAAAAATTAAAACAAACAAAAACAAATTAATAAAAACTAAATGTTTTAGAAATAAAATTCTTTCGCAGAATTCACTGTAGGAATGGTTAGGAACTAAATGCTTAAATCGGAAGCAATTAATGAAATTGTATTAATGAATGTGTGAATTGATAAAATTAGGGAGAACTGATTGAAAAGTCCATATTTCTTGTCAGTTGTGAACATAGCAACCATAGAAAGAAAAGATACTTCATTTCGATTAAATGTTTGCATGAATGGCACTCAATGGCACTGAGAGCACACCAACTCACAGCTCACCCGCACGTCACCACAAAATCAATACTATAGTTACAGACACTACAGACACTGGCACTGGCATAGGGTTCACAGTCTTGCAAATCATGTTTTCCTACCATTGCTTATATAAATAGACTGTATTTATATACAGTGAATGTCTTCAGCAATAAGTCTGTATTGTAAGCACACAAGCAATCAAACGCTAAATACAAATATTCATATCCAAACACTACTGCAAATATATTCTCTCTAAAATAAATACTGTCACACATTAAACACATTAATTATATTAGTTTCTAATAGTATCTTATAAAACATATTTTCAGAATCAGTACCAATTCAAATGTAACACTATTTCAAAGTAATCAGATTAAGAAAATATATTCTCATTAATTGTAAAACAGTTATTTAGTTTTAAAAATTGATTTCATAGTATAACCTCGCAATAATCTAAACTTGGTGATAATTATCATAAAAATAGTAATTAATATAATAATTAAAATGTTATTTATAATAACATAAAAGACATTAAATTAAAGTTTTAAAAATAATATCGAAAATAGTAGCAATTAAAAAACGCGTATTGCAGTGAAGTGTCTTTAAGGGAAATAGAAACCAATCGTTTTGTAAACTGTTTTGAAAACCATTTAAACTAATTGTGAATTATAGTATAACTTATGCTTTTGAAATATTGTCATTTGAATAAAATTTATGCAAAATTTGACAACAAATAAAAGTTATTTTTAGAGACGAGTAGAAAATGTGATGTAAATGAAGCGAATGATTGGTCAGACCTGACTGATATCTGATGTCCAGGCTGCTTTCTCTTGCATGGTTGGCGCCACCAAATGCAATGTATTGGCCGGTCCTGCCTTGGAGTCGATTATAATCTTAAAGTCGAGGCCTCCATAGTCTTTGCCACCGGGCGTTAATCCGATAGATGCCGGTTGCATACCAGTGCCACATTCGCTTGAATGGCTCGACGCTGANGTCTGGTGATTTATATAATATTATATCTCACTATATAATTATATTTCATTTATTATTATGAATACTTTTGATTCCTAAGTTTTAACATATAATACAGTAAATAGTAACCAATATAAATGCAGTGTAATTTTTATGGTATTAAATTAGAGAATTATTCATTCAGTGATTCAGTGATTTAGAGTTGATATAAACTTTTATTGAATAAATTCATTGAAACGTGATTTTAATTGCAATTTGTTGTGAAAATGCAATTTCGTTACAATCTCCACGATTTTAAGTGTAGAAAAATTCAAAGAAATGGTTGAGTGACCAGAAAATGGGAAAATAAGAATTTCCACATCACTTACGGCACACATCTTCAGTGTTATTGCAAACAAAAAACATAACACTATTTGTCAATACAATTCACTAAATTGTTTATTCAATTGTGTATCCAAACAGTTTGATATTAGTTTTTAAAATCCAATGTTTATTATACTTTAAAATGACGATAAAAATATAAACCTAGAAAAGACAATTAATTTGTAAAAATATAATTACAATCGCAACAAATGATTACAAAAATGGACTTAACTTTTTGCTCGTTAGGGAGAACTCTGGAAACGTTTCTCACTTATCCCATGCATCAGGTATTACACAAGTCTGGAGTGAAAAGCTTTAAGCCAAGTCTATCATGAAAATCAATTATTTAAAACCATTGATAATTACATTTTCAGGTCCCGCGTTATATAATAACATTACATGAATTACTGGCTCATACACCACACAATCACGTCGAGAGAAAGAGTCTCGAAAACGCGAGAATCAAACTCGAGGAGCTCTCACGGGTTAGTCGTGTTTTCATTAATATTACATTCAATAATTATATATGAAATGATCGGTGCAGACAATGTAAAGGCACTTTTAGGTGTGTTCACTCTTACGCTACAATGCCATGCTAATTCATCTACAAAGTATGCATTGCATTAGATAGTATAGTTAATTCTAGTAATATGTACAGTTACGGTCTAATATTATAATATAGATATATAATATTATAGTATTTCATAACCATCTCAAGGTATATATTATCGCATAATATGCTGGTCTTGAGTGTAAACATATTATTTTTATCCGATTATCTATTATAATGAAGAATAACTCCAAAACTAGTCATATATTTATTTCTAAATTGAACGGTCATTATATTATGATAGTTGAAATTTATACCTACTTTTCTATTGTCCATACAATATAACCTTATTTCGGATTTAATTTAAAATTTATCCACTATTTGAAATTAAAATTAGACAAAATTACTGCTCAGTCACTAATATTATATATTATAGGTAATCGCATCATGCGATTCGCAAGTAATCTCTTCAAATTCACTTAAAATCCAATGATTATAACATGTTTGCTTAATAATAAAATATAAATTGAAATTTTATTTTTTAATTATTTTAAATATTTTTTAATTAAAATAAGAAATTAATTTTTAATATATACAGTATAATATTATTAAGAACTTTTATAGCAAAATTGTTAAAGTACTGAATTATATTTTACTATTTCTTTATATTAAAAGCACTTGTTAATCTTTACAATATTCCGTAACTTAAGTGTTGTTTTAGCAAATACTTCATTGAATTCATATTATAGGAGAATTTTGTGGTTTTGTAGTTAGAGTGTTGTAATGATATTGTTAACATATTATAACAAAGCATTTTATTAAGAACTTTCAAGTTTCTAACAAGGACTATTGAGTCCCCCTTATTTATTTAGTATTAATTATGTTGAACGTACAGAATATTGATATTGAAATTGGTTTTAAAGCAAATGCACGACGAAGTGAGCGAAACAGAGAACATACGAAACAATTTGGCGATTGAAAGGATTATTGTCGGCGGATGTGATATATTACTTGACGTGAACAACGTGTTCATTAGGAAAGGCGGTGTAATACAGGTGTTAGGGACAGACAAACTGAAATTCCAGCGCTCGAGGATCGGATCATTTCGGGGCGAGAAAGAGATCATCCGTCAGTGCTATCTATTCACTAATCACATGCTATTATGCACGAGAACTTCGGGCGGAAAATTGACTTTACTCGAGGTATGCGCTCATTTCCGGCGCTTGAAATTACTTTTAATAATTAATATCATGAATAACTCGACAAATGCAGGGAATCGGCAAAATTCCGTTGTCTGAGGCGACTCTCATCGAAGACCCCAACGAACAGTTCCAGTTCACTGTGGATGACGGCGGTGAGGCTGAGGCTATCTTGTGACCCATTCTTAAACCTCACGCTTATATGTCTTGTGTATCCAACGAACCGATCGATAATGCGAACCCTTTTCCCTTTGTCAGAGGGATCCCTGAGCTCAGCGTCGAGCCATTCAAGCGAATGTGGGACTGGTATGCAACCGGCATCTATCGGATTAACGCCCGGTGGCAAAGACTATGGAGGCCTCGACTTTAAGATTATAATCGACTCCAAGGCAGGACCGGCCAATACATTGCATTTGGTGGCGCCAACCATGCAAGAGAAAGCAGCCTGGACATCAGATATCAGTCAGGTCTGACCAATCATTCGCTTCATTTACATCACATTTTCTACTCGTCTCTAAAAATAACTTTTATTTGTTGTCAAATTTTGCATAAATTTTATTCAAATGACAATATTTCAAAAGCATAAGTTATACTATAATTCACAATTAGTTTAAATGGTTTT